CTTCTTCTTCTTCTTCTTCTTCCTCTTCTTCTTCTTCTTCTTCTTCTTCTACCCTCACGAGTTTTAATGGGTTCTTCAACTTCCTACTTCGATTCGCAGTTACTGGTCCATACCGGAATACCACTATCATAACGAAAGTTACTGTCGACTCCATATCTCATGAAACGACAACCGAAATCCTCAGATGTCTTTTCGAGTCGAACAAATTACGCAACTAGGGTTGTAAAACTGTCTTGTAGCCTAATGTCAAAATATTTCATTTAACTCAAAATACCGGCTTTCGGACGAGCTTTTTTTCCGGTCGCCTGCGAACAGCAACTCTGTAAAATGATTTTATGATTAATTTTCAATGGTTTTATCAATTTGAATATATTTTAGAAAACACGAACAACAGTGTTCTTTCTTGTACTCTTTTAGTAGAAAATTTCGTTTTCTTTAAATTTTATACCTGAGGAAAAGGTATCATTCGGTTTTAACAACCTTTCTAATTTTCCGAAGAATTTTGAACTCTACCGACCGGTACATTTACATCTAAGGTTTCAAAACTACATGCTGCATGCATTCTGTCTAAGGAAAATTACACATCTCCGCGCTACGCGGAGGAGGTTACATAGTTTTCATACATTTTGCAATTTATGTGGATCACGTATGCTTTATGGGCTACATTAATAAATTAGCGGATACAATGTATAATGGGTGAACATTTCCCGGTCCTGAGAAAGCTCATAATTCAAAGCCTTTTTTTAAATGAGAAAACTATATTTGTAAGAGAAAAAATTGAGGAAGGTACAACTTGTTACGAAACAGGTGCGAGAAAGAACATTTTTGCTCTTGTTTTCCAGAAAATGTATTTGAATTTATAAAGGCAGTGAAAATCAATGGATAAAGGCACATTGTTTAAGTTGCCATTTTTTTGCAGAGTATGCCTTTTGTAGGCGGTCAGAAAGAAGCTCCTTCAAGAACCGGTTTTTTGATGTAACTGAGACAGCTTGGCATTAGGCTACACGATACTTAATATTGCAATCCTATTTAAGTAATTTGTTCGATTCGAAAACACAGGCCAGAATTTCGGTTGACATCTCATGATATAAGGGATCTACCTTAGCTGGTCCGTTAGAAGCCGAAGTTCCTCCATGACGTTTCTCAGTGAAATGTATTGACTCTTCCTAGCTACACCTTCATGGTTAAAAAAATTACATAAGGGATCCCTTTACAGCGCACGCGTACAACCACCTTTGGGCGTACGAAAAGCCTCACAAGTTTTCGAATTGACGCTCGTCAACAAAATTTCTGAATCTACGGTCTGCCCTGCCTTTATTTTCTCACAGACGCTTACTAGAAAACGGCAAATGCATGCATTCTGTCCCCTTCGGACACTACTTACTTTCCTGTGTCTCCACCCTTTCGGCTTTCTAGGTAAAGAAGCCAACGTCTATCATGCTGTCGGTCCTCAGGGGGACCTGGCCATCAAACTCTTTATGACTTCAATCCTACCCTTCAAATCACGGAATAAGTACGTGGCGGGGGATTTCCGAATGCGTCACAATTACTCCACCTGCAGTTCCTGGAAACTGGTCTCTAAATGGGCGGAAAAGGAGTTCCGAAACCTGATCAGAATCAACACTGCCCAGTCCATTCCAGCGCCCACACCAATTAAACTGAAGGGTGTGGTTATTTTAATGACCCTGGTCGGCAAAGGCGGTTATCCCGCACCGAAGCTGAAGGACGTTGCCACCGGCGAATGGGAGGAGTTCGGTCCACCGCCTGACTGGCCCATGCTCTATCGTCAGATCCTGACCGATGTGCGTACCCTGTATCAGAAATGTCGTCTGGTACATGCTGATCTGAGCGAATACAACATACTCTACATGGATGGGAAAGCTTGGATGATCGATGTTTCACAGGTACATCTCCTGAGTTTTTTTCCACAAAACAACTAGAAGTTCACAATTATTTTCCCTTATTATTTAACCATTAACTTAAAATTGACCAAAAATTTGCCAAATTGACCGGAAGTCTTCTTTTCTAAGGCAGATAAAACAGCGATTTTATCCGTGGCAGCAAAACCGATGGATGAAGACCAAAACTATGGCCAAAGGTCATGCTTACATCAACCCCATGCATTATTCTAAGAAATAACTATTGCCGGCGCAAAACCATTAGTAAAGTCTCTGCGCTCTTGATAGAGGTATATTTTCAGGAGTAGGCGCGGGAGGAGATGGGTTTTCTCGACCTTGACGCTTTTAACTTGTGCTTGAATTCGTAGTCAAATAATAAAAAAACTGTGTGAATTAATTTCGAGGATACGACTTTTCCCTTCCGCTTAATGACAAATGAGTACGTGGTCGAAGCAAGGGACTTCCGCAGGTTTGCACGTCCTGAAGAGTGGCCAACACGTCGACCTCTGTTAATTCTACTCGCCCTGGGCGGATAACACAAATTTGGCTCCAGGGGATCGTCTGTCTACAGCAACTGAAAAGCCCTAGTTTAATGAAGTAGTGAAAACAGTCAGTTATCCACTGGAGCCTACGTTAGGTTCATTTTATGCCAAATTAGGCCACGCACTGGCGTTCGTACTGCATTTGAGGTTTCGCATTACTAGACATTATCAGGACGAGTGCAAGCCGACAATTTACTTTGTGTTGGCCGCTTGACTGCTGCCACCACTGCCATTAATGGCGGTCATGATCTAACCTCTGTTCACCTGCGAAATATATCTTGAGAAGGCTTGCATTTTCTAATCCCAGTTGGCGAATTCGTGTTTATGCTTTGAATTTTGTGTGCACTGGTTGGTGTTATATGTACTTCCACAGTGTTAACAATTGCCTCACAAGTTTGCGCACAAAGCGTTCACCAAAAGTTTTGCATGCTTGATATTTCGAATACACATTCACTGGCCCTTACTTACTGCTGTAGTTCTCCCTTTTATTTGTCACTGAAAGTCAACATGTGATTCAAGCCATGGTAACTAACATCGTCATTAGAAAGGCCAAGTACCTTCGGACTCATAGGCTGTATCTGTGTTCAAGCACATCTTGCGGGCTCTAATTGTGAGCTTTAGAGCGAGGCGGAACTTATTTTTTCCTCTACCAGATCGGCGAAGCCCATATATTCATCACCTTCCCGATCTCAACCGACAAATCAACGATCCCGTGGTGCAATGGTAGAGTAGTAAACTCGATGTCCAAAGGTCCTGGGTCTGAATTTCGGGGGATCCAACCCTTGAGATAGGGTATGACTGACTGCTGACGGCTAACAAGCCAGAAATGGCCATTCCGGTTTCCCTTTGCTTGGTCGGATCCATTCCATCTGGCGAAGTATATAAAAATGCAGTGTTATGCACATTGGACTAGTGTTAATCAAAATGCAATTTTCTGCTAAGTTATTGTCAGGTAGCACGTCTTTAATAAACAATTTAAGGGAGAAACGGCTGACCCGAGGCTCTGGCAAGGCATCTTAGCAGAGGAAAGACAGTAGTAATAGGCGACAAGTTTATTGCGTCAATCACCTGGCAAACCGTCGCTGTTCACAGTCGTGCAGAGATATTTGCGGCGCGTTATTTTGTACATACATATTGTAATTATCTTAACTCATTAGTTCATCATCATCATCATCATCATCATCATCATCATCATCATCATCATCATCAAACTATTTCAATTATCTAACAATGCATTATATTCACTGTCAATGAGCTCCAAACGTTCTTGCCCTTGTATTTGTGCGCCCTCTCGTTGGGGCCTCGTTGGGGTATTCACATAAGGTTATCCGTTATGCTGTTGGCTTTAATTGATCTTTGTCGGGTTCTTGGTTGATCGTCACCATTTAGCTCTACCTTATTGCCACCAGCCCGCATCACA